TTTTTTTTGTTTTCTTTTACGGTTATAATAGAATAGATTGTTATAGTGTATTTTAATAAAATAAATTCAGTAATATTTAGTATTGTCATATCATTAACATAATTTATATAAATTCGATATGATGTTTATTATCTTTAAAATAATGTACATCGTTAATGGACATTAAAATTAGGTGATGCACATCGAATATTGTGACATCGGTAGTACATTGCAGGGTCTGATGTTCAGCGTTTCTTTATGATGTACATCAAGTGACCGATATACATTTGATGAACATTTTTCCCGTGACTTCCTGATGTTTAGGCAATTTCTATTTGTACACGGGGTGTTTAAACACGGGTCATATTAGTAGATTAAAAACAGCATTCAAAACCTTCTTTAATGCCTTAAGTAAACTTACAGAGCAGGTGAAAATACATATATTTATATGTAATATAATAAGAATAAAAGTCAAAGAGTATAATGTCGGTAGCATTCAATTTCAAATTAAAAAACAAAAAATTAGTCTATTAAAAATTATATTTATATGACCCGTGTACAAACACCCCATGTAAACTTAGAAATTTTCTTAATTTTATCTATTATTTTAGGTATAAAATATATAAGCCATATTTTATTAAGAAAAGATAGAAATACTGTATAATGTAAAAAAAGTCAAAAAAATAGTGTAAAATAAAAGAAAGAAAATAATGTAAAAAAACATAATAAAAATATAAATAATACAAATAAAAAAAAATGTAAAAAATATAAATTAATAATTTAATAACTCTTAAATTTTACCAAACTAAAAAATCTAAAGATTTGCAAAATTTGTAATTAATATAAAACCAGTATTTTTCAGTTGTTTAAATTTGCTTAATTTATAAAAAAAAAAAATTATTTAATTAGTATTATTTTTTATTATCTTAATAAATTTTATATAAATTAAATAAGAAACAAATAATTAATAATTTACCTGATTCATTTAATTGAAGATCTAAGCATTCTGAAGCTATACATTATATAATATATTTTAATTACTACTAAATATAAATAAAATAATTAAGATAATAATAATTAAGAAAGTATTTACTTGGAATTTCCAAAATTGATAATGAAGGAATATTATTAATATCTATTAAAAAATAAACAAATAAAAAAATAAATTAATAATATAAAATGGATTTTATAATTAAAGTAAAAATTAAGTTAAATTACCTAAATTAAATTGAAAAGATGATAAATTTGAAGAGTTTACTGGTTTTGGAAGATTTTTAAAATTTAAAAGTTTACTAGTATAAATTGCTTGCGAATGTGATTGAGTATTTTTGGATAATCTACTTTCAAAATTTTTTTTTCCAATTTCATTACATTCTTTTAATTGAGAATAAATTACAGTTTCATTATCTCTTTTTTCTTCATTCCATTTTTTTAATATCTGATACAACTCTTTAGTGGTTGGTCTATTTTTTATTTCAGCATCCCAACATTTAATTATTATATCTGCAAGTAATTGTGGTATATTTTTAGAAATTTCTGGTCTATATCCTTGACATATTTTAATAGCTAAAAACCCATCAAAAGAAATATTACTATAAGGCGTTTCTTCAGAAAGAAACTCATTCATTATTATTCCAAATGAGTAAATATCTGCTGCTTTTGTATAATGATGTCCACGTAAAACTTCTGGTGCCACGTATGGTAGTACTCCATAAATCCTTTCCTTTTGATCTGAATACTTATTTGCTGGTCGGCACATTCCTAAATCACTTATAAATGGTAAATTTTTATGACTAAACAGTATATTACCTGGATGAAAATCTTTATGAACTTTTCCGGCATTATGAATATCAAGAAGTCCTCTTGCAATTTGTAGTAATTTATCAATTTTTAATTCATAACTTAAATAATTTTTCGATCTATATTTATTCAAAAAATTTCTTAAATTCCCATTACTACAATAATATAAAACCATCATATAATCTTTAGTATTTGGATCTTGAGTTACTCCAAAACATTGAATAGTATCATAAAGAAAAATCTCAAGATGAGATTTAATCTATTGTTAAAATAAAAAATTTAGTTAATAAATAAATGTAAATAATAATTCGAAAAGTAACAAAGTAAATTTAAGTTACTTCATTTAAAAAGTCTGAACATATATCAGAAGAGTTATCCAAACTTTTCAATGCAACTTTCAAATCTGTAATTTTATGCCATTTTTGATTTTCAATATCCCAATATTCGCTAATTCCTTCAGGCCATTCAGCAGAATATATTTTACCAAAACCACCTTTTGCAACATAAGTGATATTTTGAAATTTTTCAAAAGGTATCCATTCAAGAAATTTTTTAAAATGTACAGCATTAAGTTGTGATTCCTGTATAACTTTATCAATATCTTTATTTCCACTAGTCCAATTTTTAAAGTTATCCTCAAATCTTTTAGCATTACAAGGTTGACACCAATTTTGTCCAGTGCCAGGTTCATTACATTCCCCACATATTCCATATACTTGTTTTCTTTTATATAAATCTTTCATATAAATCGCTCTTTCATCCGCATCTTCTAATTCAGTAGTTGTAACATAGCGCTTTTAATAATCAAAACCTTATTATTATTTTTTAACCATAAAAAATTTAATATACTATATCATTAGTAATAATGTGAATTGGTATTACCTGATTTCTGTTGGGATCAACAGATTTCCATTTATTTCTTGGCTTTTTTTCCATATTAAAAAATTTTGTATATGCTAGTAATTAAATCAAATAAATTTCAGAACTAAACGTAAAAAAAAGGGAGTTGTCGGAGTATAAAATGCAAAATTTTGTACTACCATAGTATTATATCAAATATAGTAATTTGGTTACGATTTCTATTTAAGCAGTAGTACCAAAGATTAACCGATAATCACATGTTATCTGTTCTATATCACGAATAATTAGAGGTTTGATCCCAATGATTAAATCATCTCGATCAAGACAGTTTTTCCGATGCCACATATTAAATTAGATTTGATGCAAAATCTTTAATAAATTTAATAAAAATTTTCAATGTCAAATAAATCTGATTCCAATTCAAGTTATGTATTTCTATAATATCCTACGTTTCTAAATAATAATACATGCAATATATTCCAGACAAAAATGAAAATACAAACATAAATATATTTCCTTCTTACAAATCAGAACTACACCATTTATTTACTGCAAAACTAAAACCTCCTCTTTAAAATAAACTTAAATCGTTCTATTAAAATACTATCTTACAAAATACATAAAATGGGAATTTTTCTTGTTTGGCTCTTTAATTAGTTTGAGAACCAAGCAATCTAGTATGTTCATCAGGAATAACCCGACCATCGGAAATAATTTCTTCGTCAACATGTTTTTCTCTGTAATGCCAGCAAATGCACATAATAAGAAGAGTTCCTTGAAGACATCCTGTTATAAGAAAAACAATCCACGTTGACCATCTAGTACCAGGACTAGAAGCGAGGGAATAAGCGAAAAGGAATGAACCTAAGGAAGCTATGTTAAAAAAATAGGAAATCTTATAAGATCATGCACAAATAATAAAGTGTGAATAATTACCTGGAGTTTGAAGCAGCATCATTTGAATACTAAGAGCTCCAACAGACTAATTGACAAAAAATGTTAACAAGAAGAGTCAACTTCAATCACCGAAAAGTTCTCAATAATCATACCTTTCTTTTCCAAGTTTTCCAAATTTGAGGTAAATATTGAATTGACGCTAAAATTAAAGAAATGACTCCTAATAGATCTGCCCAATATCTGGTTACTTTTTCTTCTTTGGCTCCACCCACAAATATTAAAAGGTAAGCAGAAATAATGAGTGTAAAGATAAAATGAATAGCGACAGCGGCTGTGACTTGAAGAGAAAGGCTCCATTCCGGAGAATATTTTGATGATGAAGAAATTGATGAAAGATTATTATATCCGCTTCCTAGACTAATATTTGGTATATATTTTTTATAATCTGGAAAATATATCATAAATAATACTAAAATCATTGTAAAACAGAACCACTGAATTGTTAGTTGAATAATTCCTAAAACATTTTCAAAACAATATCCAGCAGAGTACTATAGAAAGATTTTTAGAAAAATAAATCAATTTTATATAAAAACGCATAAAGATAACAAGCTTAATTACATACCACATTTTTACAACAACCAAATTCATTAAATTGCAAAATTAAAATATTGAAATAACTACATGTCATTGAAATAGCACCCAACAGAAGAAATAATGGACTAATCCCCTCACTAGACTTGGTACTAAAAATTTTATAATGCTATTGAAGAATTTTAAAAAAATATATTAATATTTTTATTAAAAAATTTTTTAAAATAAAAATTGTTTTTTTTTATAGAACTACCTGCGGTAAGTAACTAACTAAGATACCAATCGCAATAAAAACCGCAAGAAATACTGTTATAGGATCATTCTTTTCATCATTACACTTTTTAGGTTTTTCTAATTCATTTATTAAAAGTTCCATATTTTATATAGTAATTAAAAAATGATTCAAGAGTAGGTTGAGAAAATTTCTTGAAGAAAAACCAAAACATGCTTTTATCTACACAACGATTGATTGCTGAAAGGCGTAATTTGTGCAACAAATAATTTGATTGCAGTATGTTTCAGAATTATAATCACATCCGCAGTAACTAACTATTTCCCCATAATCTTGTATGAAAGCGAAAAGTGTGATGATCTTGATCATAACAGATAAACTCGATTAAAACAAATACGCACATTTACAGTATATACAGTATAGTAGATTATATCTATGGTCAAAGATAACATTTTACACAATTCAATTTTAAATGATAATATATAATTAATATATTTAAATTTTTTTTAATCACTTTTTACAAAGATTTAACGAATAAAAGGGATTCCTTTAATAAAAAAATACAAAAATGAAAGTAAGTTATACATAAATATATAAGAAGAAAAATAAAATTTTCAACTTAAAAGGAGTACGTGGAAGTAATGAAAGAGAAGGAGTTCGAAATTAAGAAAAATTCAATGAAACAACCGAATTTTTTAGGAGATATGAAGGATAAGGGTATAATATGAAAATAACTACAGAAGAAAATTGAAATTGGAAAAAAATATATATATAGTGATATTGTGAAGAGTTGAAGAATGTGAAAACCCAAATAAAATGATCATAAACCATATGAAAATGTAGATGAAGAAAATGCGAATGTTGTATATACCGTGTAAATGAATGCAAAAAATTGTATATAATCTATAACAAAGATAAAAGTCATGTACACGAATGCTAGTATATATATTTAAAATCTATGAATGTATATGTATGTGATTGAATGCAAAATATGAGCGTAAATGCAAAAAAAAGTATGGTAAAAATGCAAAAATGAATAACAATGCGGAATGTATAAAAAAAATGCAGGGTTTTCATGAAAATGCGTCTAGTAGAATTGGGAATTCATGATAACTTTGTACATGTGCGGAAAGTGAAGGATGGTGATGAATGTATATATATATAACAGAGGATTTGTTACTATGAATTCCCTTATGTGATGAAATCTCTTCGTATTTCTTTTTGAATTCTATTATACAATACGATTTAAGTTGTCGTGATGAACGGGAGGAAGTTCTTGAATAGCGAAGAGATTTCCACCAGTGGGTCTCACGCGAGATTGAGATTCCCGACCTGAACCTCCATAGCCAAACATATCCAAAATTCTTGAAAATGTTGAGGAACTACCGCCGGTATTCCTAGCCTCATTTGAAGTATCATAAATATTATTAAGCCTATCTTGAACTTGAATTGCGTGAGCATATTTTTTCTCACGTTTTTCGGCAATTTCGGGTGGAGTAGCATCTTGCTTACAAAGAGGACAATGTGATGATTTTGTTGTAAGCCATTTATCAACACATTCCATATGATACAAATGAGAACATGGTAACTCTCTTAAAGTTTCACCATCAACAAGTTCTTCTAAACAAATAGAACAAACTTCAGAAATGGTCGCTGATTTGGAAGAATCGGAAGTGGCAACTGATCTGTCGAGTTGTTTACTATAGACCTTGGTGGGGAAAGTTTTCAATACGGATTTTTCTAAGGTGAAAACTTTTAATTTGGAATTTACATTAGCTTCATGTTGAGCAATCATCAAATTTCGTTCACGACGTCTAAGTTGATATAAGCGGCAATGAATCAATACTAAGAAAAAAAAAAGAAATTAAATCAGAACAAATTAGTTCCTCAACAAGATACGTAAAAAAAACATTAATAAATATCTTTAAATATATTCACCAGACACCAAGAACGAAGCAGCAAGTATAGCTCCAATAACGATTATCGCAATTTGCCAACCACCACCAAATGAACCTGAAGAAGGTAACATAATAACTCTGACCATTTTTGTAGAACCTTCGGTTGCTGCAAATTCATTAAGTTTGTTCATTAAATTATCACCTTTTTCCTTATTGATTTTAAATACTGGAATTTTTATACTGGGTTTTGATGATGTAGGTGTAGTAGGTGTAGTACCATCGCCATAATAAACCGCACCAATCACACCATCATTTTGAACAGCATTAATCTGATCGTAAATTGAACAAGAGCTATTTTGTTTGATGAGAGCAATACGTTGATTCATTAAGGATTTTGGAATATTTGTTGGAGAGGTTATCATAGTGCAAGCATCACCAGGGTTGTACAATAAGCCCTAATAATTGAATTATTATTAAAATTCGAAATATAAAGACATTTATTGAAGTCAATCCCATTCTACATACCTTAACGTTGGCTGAGGGTTCTGGTGTATCTACTAGTTGTTGTAAATTTGCATTATCTTCAGTATAGTCAACTCCTTCAGATGGTTTTCCATCTGCTGTTTTTTCTACATCAGCAGAATTGAGATCTGAAGTAGCATCACTAACATATATTGTATCCTCATGCAGGGTTGGACCAGCGAGGACTGTGGCGCAAAATATGAATAACAGGAGAAAAGGGAAAAATTTTGCAGGCGTGAAGCGAGTCATGGTTAAAAGCTATCTGTACAAAAGTTTTGAACGTAATATTAACAAGAAATTCTCGAACAAAACAAAAAAATTTAATATCTAAATTAAAAGCGCGCACGCCAGCGTGAAAAATATATTACAATTCGAAAAAAAATGAGAGTTTCAATGGAAAGGGTAAAAGCGAATTTTAGAAAATATGACAATTGAAAAGAAGGAAAGCTTTTTTGGAAGTTTTTTTTATGAATTGCGTTAAAAATTCAAGTCTTTATTAACCACCAAAAAAAGTTATCCCTAATTCTCCGGTATCATTCAGATAAAGAGCGCCTTTTTAATGAGTTTAAAAGAAAGAAAGAAAATTGATCAACGCTTTTTTGAAGCCATTTTAAAGTATAAAATTCGGTAGGTACACCAATCTAACTTGTTGTCTAGTTATAGAAATGGCCATTTTTGGATGAACAGTTGCTTGTTTACTAGATTGGAAAACATGGAGTAGCATGGTTAACAAAGACGTCGGACATTGACAAAGGCATGAATATCAATACCAAAAAGAGAATACATAAACGCACCATTAGTCGATTTAATTCCTTTCTTTAGCGATTTCGGAATTGCACAATGTTGCACGAATGAAACTTCAAACTCTTGAAATATGCTAATCATTTTTAACCACCAATCATTAATCCAATTTTCTTATAATGTGGAACATTTATAAATTATTTAATGTCGTCATTATCCAATCAATAAGCTAAAATTTATTATTATTAACCTTATATGAATTAAACTTTACAATGTAAAATAAAATTTTTATTTGGTTACACCTGAAACATATTCAATATAAGTGTAAAAAATAAATTATAAAGAATATTCTGAGATTACTAAAATAAAACAAACTTCTAATTTGAAAGAAAGTGTATTTTATCTTTTATAATGAACCTATCAACATTTCAACAATCCGTTTTTCTTTTAATGATCTCTCCTTTAAAGTATCATCATCTGTCTTTGTTGCCACTGGTAATTCGTTGTCTATTTCCATCGATTCTTTGACATTTTCACTGGAACCCCGATTTTCAGCCTCAATCTGATCGACATCGCCCATGTTTTTAAAATAATCTGTAGTGTTACAATGAAATTGCAAATGATTTCCAAAATTGGAATACAGCAAAAATAAAGAAATTCCGAATTAGGGGAATAGCAAATTAAAAAAAGAGTAGCAGACAAAGAATGAAAAGGTCTTACCTTCTAAAATAGTCTTTACATTAGATAAGCTACGTCCTGTCCGATTTAGAAGAATGCTTACATGTTCTTTGATCTGTAATTCCAAAAAGGAATTAAAGATTTAATGTTACACAATGCGGTAGTTGCATTACATCATGTAATCATTGTTCACAAAAATAACAATAATTGTTATCATCAGCGCTAACATACTACGACTATTATGATTATTACTAAAACTAGTATTAAGTAATTGTTTATTATAAAAATAATCACGTACCGCAGAGTCCTCGAAACAAATCCACGCAATTGTAAGATCAACGAGTTGTAAAGTAAATAAGCCCCCATCCAATCGTCGTCTTAGGTAAAGCTCTTCCATCTCACTATCATCGCCGTCTAATGTCTAAATAAATGGAATACTTAACCAAGATTAACCTGTGGTAAAAAAATTTTAAAAATAATTGCATGTACCTCTTTCTCTTCTTCAATCTCCTTATTAACATTTTCGACTTTAGCTTCATAACTTTCTCTAATTTCCAACAATCTGTCCACCTTCTCGTAATTGTCTTCAATAAATTTATTTATTAACCGCATTCGAGCTTCACTATCAGGTGGAAGGTTTTTTAATAAGGAAATAATTATTCCCATGATATGTTCTAAAAATTATCAGCTGTGAGCGAAATTAATCGCCAATTAACCGAAGAAATAACTATATTAAAAAAACTTAATTACCTTCTTCTTCAAATTCGGTGAATGTTTTATAATTTTTTTTGAGTTTTTTTAAGCCCTATAATAACAAACAAATAATTATAAATCAAATCATATCGAAATTGTTATAATTCGCAGGATTATCTGATCTATTTCTTTATAAACTATTATTATTAACCCTATACTCGGAGGTTCATATAATCCTTACGTTGATTGAAAATTTTAATTACGTCAAAATGATGCAGGAAATATCTGGCTAAACCAAATATTACAGGTTATTGATATCAAATATACCTAATATATATATTTACCTTACGCATAAAAGCAGCAAAGAGTGTTTTAAGTCCGAATATCTCTACAAACCGCTCACAATTCCTTAATCCCATTGGTGTTGACAACGCATGATCTAACACTTTTATGGAACGCATACGAGACATCATCTTCTCTCTAATATTTAATATTTTATCACGTATTAGAAGGCATTTGCTTTTTATTCGAGTTTATAAATACAAAAAACCTACTTCATCATAATCAACATCAGTTCAACCCCTTCACCTTCCAAAAATTTTTGTTTGATTTCTGGTTCCTCTAATACTAAACATAGAGCATCAAAATAATTCTCCATCATCTCTGTTTCATCGGCATCCTTTGGATCTTTACGTTTATAAGACTTTATAGAAAGTAAAGAAATTTTTAATTCAGGAATTTTGCTTATAATAAAAAAAAAACAAAATTTGCAATTTAAAAAAGCCCATACGTTCAAGACTTGTAATAGAACATCAACACCACCCAACTCTCCAAGTTTTAATCTGTTAACTAAAGGAATAATGAAATAATTAGTTGTGTAGATAAACTATTTAAAAAAATATAATACTTTAAAAATAAATAATACCTCGACTATTTTGCAATAAAATTGCCAATAACTCACTACAATACTGTTTATTAGAATCAAACACTTTGACCCTAATTCTGTTAAGCATCCATTGTAATAAATTTGTATCTCTAACAATTCTCTCAGATATTGCAGGATCAAATGATGTTAAATTTTCAATTATACCTAATTTTAATTAATTTTAATATTACCTAAATATGTTGTAACTATTAAATGATGATCCTTTTTCATAAAAAAAAAAGGCATATACCAAGTGTGTTAAAAACTCCTTGTTTATCAGCAGGTTCCTCTTCATCTAATCTACTTAGATTCTGGACTAAAAGTTCCAATAATTGATGTTCAAGCTAATAAAAGAAAAGTAATTTAAATTATTAAATTAAAAAAATACAATTGGCGCCAAAACAACCATACCTTATAAAGAATAATAATATTACCAATGCATCAATAAAAATTTTTATAGCACCTTCTTCATGTTCTGCTACAACATCTTCATCTGTCAATTCATTCAGCAATTCTATCGCATCAATAGTAATATCTGTATTCTCATGACTTAAAAGTGACACAATTAAATCTACAGCTCCCAATTGAACTATCTGAGGGTACAGATCAGGTACTTCAGTAAGAGTTAATAAATGTTTAATTTCTTCATCAAGGTCCGCTTCTGATTCCATAAATCTAAATGAAATATATTATATAGCTATTTATTAATGATTTTTATTATATATGACGCGTAAAAAGTCAAAACTTACTTTGTCGGATCATCAGGGTATTTAACGCGAAGTTCTTGATTTTTACGTATGGCTTTTTCAAACTTCAGAATCATTTTACGCACTCCGGCTAAGTCTAAATTTTCTGGCTTGGAAATTCGAAAATATAAATTAATTAATAACTTACTTATATATTAAACAAAAAATAAAAGAAAGAAATCCTTAAATAATTAAATACAAACCTCCTCAATATCAACCTGATCAACTAAATCTAAAATTCTTTTTTGCTCTTCAGTTAATCCACCTCCATAAAATCTTCCACCTTCTTCCTCTTCTAACTCTTCTAAATCACTTTCGTATTCTTCATAATCGTCAATATAATATTCTTGTTCTTCCACTTCATCAGATATTTGTACGGCTTTACCCTTTCCTTTCGAAGAACTAGAGGTGGCAAGAGCACTTTTTGATGGAACAGGCTGTGAAGTTTTGAAATCTTTATTCCCAGTTACAAAATCGGAAGTTTCTTCAAGTTCTTCGGGATTAGTTTTTTGACGCACTGCTTTAAGTACTTCAATATTTGGATTCGCTGTAAGTTTCCTTTTGTTTTTTCCACTAGGAATGGAACTAGAGGGAATGTTAAAAAGCTTATCTACATTCATTGCTCTTGTATTTTGTGACAAAAAGTGATCGTTAGTATGTATTATGGCTGTGGTTGTTGACTTGAATCTTGTGTTACGACACACTGCATGTTTAATCTCACGATCATGTGATTATATATACATTGTTAATATTAATATAATAAAAATATATATATTTATCAGTTATCTTTTATTAAAGTAAAATTCTGAATACAAAAACAAATAATTAAATAGTAAGACAATATATTTATTTCATCGATTTAATTGGTTTAATAATTGTATTTATTTAATTCATGTTTGCCTCATCAAGCTTGTCTCCCTTTAGTCTCGATGGGTAACAAAACCATACAAACACCAGATATCGTAAATAATAATGCGGAAACGTATAATGGTACAGATACGCTAATTGAAAGGAGTAAGCCTGTCACCATTGGAGCGATTATACCCGCACTAAAATAAAAGCAGATAAGATTAAAGAGAAAAAGAGAAAAAAGAAAAAATTGTAAAATAAATATAGGAAAATAACTTACACTCTTCCAAAAGCTGAAGCTATACCACAAGCTGTACCCCTTACTTTTGATTCAAAAACTTCTGGGGTATATCCATAAATAACTGCGTAATTCAATGTGGCCAAAAAGCTAACCATAGCTGAAGAGATTATTTCACTAGAATGTGATTTAACGACCGAGAAAAGGAACACAGATAATGCAGTGCCAAATGTTGCGATTGACATAGTGCCAATACGACCAAGAACAGTTTCAATTAACCATGCTGCAGCTAAAGATCCTGGAACACCGCACAGTGAATATACGACGTAATCTTTCAAAACATCTTGCATCAATGAATCACTTTCACCATTATCTAAGCCCAAGCTCTCAAGATATTTAGGTAGGAACACGTTAAACATCGTGTAAGCGAAAGATACCAATGTCCATATACACCAAACAAGAATTGTTGTCATGAACCATTTCCTTGTGAATAAAGACATGACTACTTCTATATTTGATGATGTCTTATATTTAATATATGATATTGGATCTGAGGTGAACTCAACCTTGGCATGTTGAGTTTCATTTGGAAATGGGAAAGAAGAAAATGATCTATTACGAGGATTTGTAGTATTTGCAGGAGTTTGAAAGTCACTGGCTTGGATTTGCATATTATTACCATTAATCTTCGCAATCTTGCGTAGCACAAGCACAGCATCATGTTTGCGATTGCGAGAAATTAAATATTTAGGTGATTCTTGAAGTTGGAAAAAAAAAATACGGCACATGAGCATTAAAAATGTCTAAGGTTGAAAAAGAAAAATTGAATAAATTTCTTTTTTTTTAAAAAAAATAATCTAAATACGTAATTACATAAATGTATCAAACTTACCAAGGACCCTAAAATTGCTAACATATATCTCCAGCCGTTGTTTTCTTCGAAAACATTACAATCATCTTCGGTACAACTGTTAGGTGGTAAAATAAAATATGCTAAAACTGAACTGAGCACAGCACCAAAAGAAAAGAACACTGACATAAAAGTGAGAAGGTATTGATGTTCTTTAGGTATAAATTCAAGGAAAAGCGCACCTAAATTAAATTTTAAGAATAAGTTAACACAAGAATATTGCAGAAAAAATCCTAAATGAATCAATTTATTACCATCAACTGGCATGTTTCCGCCCACGCCAAATCCTAACAGGAAAAGCATAAAACATAATTGGAAAAAACTTTGTGCAAAACTTGCAATTATTCCAAAGAAAGTAGTAACAGCCAAAGTCCAGTTAAACGCTTGTTTACGGCCATGAGTGTCCGAAAGAACGCCCCAAAATAAGGCACCAAACATCATGCCTGTGAACAAAGAACTTGATAATGCACCAATAAGCGAATTGGGCAATCCAAAATGTTCTATGACAGATAAGTATATTAGCAATTAAATAAATTTCGCGTCAGAATTACAAATTGATACAATATATTACTTTGAACCCTCGGTAATATGACAGCTATACACTTTTAATTGATGATACATTTTTAATTTAATTAATTGTGACGAAACATAGACAAATACATGATTGAAAAATACTGTACTTGGAGCCACATCTATAAATTACATCAGATAATTAAAAAAAGTTAAAGGTTAGATTTATATAAAAAATTGAGAATATTTACGTTATCTGCTAGCCACCCTAATCCACAAAGTACCTGAATAAAATGAAATGATTGTATTGTAATCAGTTATCCAAACATTAATAAGAACAAAAAAATATCAACGAACCAATAATTGTTTTTGAAATTTTCCCATCCCAATTTTTGTTATAACAGAATCAAGCGCTGTTTGTTTCTTTGCAATGTCATCTTGTAGCAAAATTGAATCATCGGATGAATTATCATCTTCCACCACAATTTCTGCTGCATCGGTACCTGACGAGGGTAATTTTATAAACATTGTTCTTTCTTCGTCAATATCATTTGAATTCTTCGTAGACATTTTGTCTGTTTGCTTTTTTCTAAAAAAAAAAAATTTAGGTTGGATTTTTCAATTCCTCTTGTTAATTCCAAAGCCTTCTAGGCTTTTTTTTTTTTTTTTTTTTATCTTAGAAAATGTAAATCTATCTATCCTGTTGACATTTCTAAAAGGAAGTTTTTAAAATAAAATAAAGAGTTGAGAACGATTATTCGCAAATTGAAGCCTTCTTTCAGCTTCAACTTTAAATCGAACTCGAATTATTAATAGTAATATGGATCAAAAAAAACGAGGGTAAAAATTTGTATGAAAAATTTTTTTCATTTAATTACTCGAAATGATATACTAATTTTAAAAACTTTATATGGAAATTTATGGAAGCCTTGGCAATTGGCATGTGAAACACTTGTGAAACAGGGGGAATATAGATTTCCCAGCTCTTGGTAGTATATTTTCCACTTCATTGAATTGCAAAAAATATATATATGCAAACATGCAACAATCCCCATCTACTACAACACCACCGGGGCCTTCAACTGTTCCTCAGTTTGTTGTAATTCACGATCAATTACAACAGTGCTGGAAACACCCAGTAGTCCATTATGTATTTGAGGGCGAACCTTTTCCCTCGGACGTACCAAAAGACTCGTATGTATTGGTAAATCTTGGTGAAGATGGTGAAAGTATTGTTGATGTTAATTCATTAAGCCATAAATTTCAAGTAACAAACTGCAAAGTTAGCTCCACTCCACAAATGAATGCTACTGCGGGGCCAGGTGGTAAAGAATCTAACACAAGTTTGATGTTAACTATCGAAGGAATGTCAGCCAAGTAAGAATGAGAAAAGTTTACTTTGATCAATTAAAATAAATCGCTAACTTTATTTTTATATATATATTATATAGTCAACCAGCAAAAAATCGAAGCAAACAATATAAAGAAGAATTTGATCAATCATCTAGTATGTTTGGATTAGATGATTTGTTATATGATTTCAAAAAAAGGTATTTATTTAACAATAGTAACATTTCATTTTAATGTGCAGTTTATCTAATTTATCTTATTTTATTTTGCTTTAGGAATGAATTAATAAGACAAACACTCATATTTTCACAAAGTCAAAGAACCTAATATATTTAGCATATTAAATACAATATAAGGCATAATATATTATTTAGTTGTTAATTCGACTATATTTAACGACACTTTTTGATTGAGGTTCATATATATATATATAGGAATTTTCGCTAAGGTATGTAACAACGAAAGAAGGTTTATAATATGTTCTAATAACATTTCAAAGGTAACGAATAATTGAATTTTAATTTAGGAGGCGAATTAATTCGTTCAAAGAATAGTTTATATAATGTATTATCCGACATAACAGACAGCATTTATCTACTGTGATATTTATCTACGACAATATTTATCTACTGTTAGTATTTTTAATGTTCTCGATACATACAATAGAAATTGTAAATAATTTGGCACTTATGAGGAATAATTATTCAATTATAGTAATAATCAAAGTTTTGTATAATCTACATAGGTTTCTTCACACACTTGCCTTTGTTCCTCAAACACTGTCCATAAGAAAAAAAAAAATTCAAGTTAAACTATCTCGTCCTTACAATATTAATTTTTTTTTTCTAATTTACATACTTTTTCTTTCATCATCATCCAATCTCTCTAAAAAATCATTGTGATCTTCAAAAAAACGTTTTGCTCTATTCAATATTTCCACAGCTCGATCGATTTTACTCTTAAAAAATATGCGTAAAATATTTGTTTTAAATAATCCTGTTGGCGATAAAGTAAAATAACCAAGAGCAAATATTCAACTTACCCTTTTAAGAATTTCTAAGAATTCTTGTATTTTAGTTAAATCTAACTGATGCTGTCTTTCATCGCCATAACGTTGATATTCCCGATTTATAATATCTTGCCATCTTTTTAGATTAAAGATTAATTTTAAAAGTAATTTCAATTTGTTTAAGCCAAAGAAAAGGATACAATAAAGCATAATCAGATGCGAATGTATAAAATTGCGGACAATAATTTCTTAAATTCATATCAATAGGAGTAACCTTTAATGCATTCATAACATCATTTCCAAATATTTTTGGTAGTTGTAATGTTGCAATTTCTCTATAATAATAAAAGTTAAAAACCAGAAAACATATTTTATATATTTTATATTAGAACAAAAAACTTTTTAGTTTTACTTTGTGACAAGTTCTTCCGCGATATAGAATGGAATTTCATAAACTTGATCTTTCAATATCTCCTATAAAATTTATAAAATTGAAATTTTGAGATGACTATGTTTTTTTAAAAAAGGCGAATAGATCATATATTTACTTTTGTTTTATCCTTTCCAATCAAATTTCCAAGGCCAAGAACATTTCGGTCGAATTTTATCGGAACTTTCTATTCATCAAAAAATGAATTTATTGTAAAAAACCGGTAAAGAAAGACGAAGAAAGCCGTGATCACAGTATTAAATGGATTAAGTTTAACTGTTTCCCCAGCAAAGAACTCTTCGACGGTTTGTGACGGATACATGTTTCAATATTGATTAACGAACGATAGAAAAAAAAACGCGAAAATTGATGATTTAAATAACGCGGATCACATGATAAATCAAATCTTGGTCATATGATTTAACTATTAACAGTACGGTCGAGAAAGACATAAAATTAAAATTGATACGACCCATGATTCCTTTAATTAACGGTTAAGAAATTTTAACTACCGAAGAAATATTAATTACCATACACACTGTATTTTCTCTATGTATAAATTACATCAAATTGACATGAAAATCAGCGTTACTCATGCGATTACACGTATGAAAGAATATCTATAAATTGTATAAATTGAAAAAATATTCTCGAAGATGCAATGTTTAAAGAAACGTAAATTTATGCTCGTCCACTTTAGTTTCGACATTGAAAAAAGGTTTGCGAAATTATCATTATTCCCACGTGAAATTTCGTTTATGACGATCCATAAATTCGACGTTTTGAAAATGAAGAAAACTATTATACTTCTTTAATATTTCAAATGAGTAAATATGTATCAAATGGATTAGATTTTTTCATATAATTATAGAAATTTAAGAATGAATACCTAGAAAGAACTGGGGTTTCCATCGCTGATATTAAATTATCTAAGAAAGGCTTTGTTTGGCCAACTCCAAAAATCGTTTTTTTTAGCCAACGGTCAGATTTTTTAGACCTCCAGCAAATTATACATCACAATTACAAACAATAGAAAAATTAGAATTCAATTTATCAGCTGTATTCACAATTGATCAAAAGATGAACCAAAAGCATTAGAAAAATATGCAAAATCATTTACTACTACTGAAAAGAATACCGATCACGTTAAAGAACTAGTCAGAGGTATTATCGAAGGTGAAACTAGAGTTATAGCTGCTGCCATGACTATAATGTTTCAAGAAAGAAAAGGTTCAAGGAAAAAGTAAAAATGTTCAAGCCGAATTGGATCAATTTGGTTTGTTCATTTATAATGCTAATGTTAAAAACAATTACAAGATACCCAATTTTGCTTACATGATAAGTTAGAAAAAATTCATAATGAAGAAATAAAAATTTTAATATAATTCAGCGGATGAAAGCTCATGAAGTGCAGTAAAACAAGTAAGTGTTGATGTAAATATAAGAGTGATGTTGGTGTAAAGGAGCGTGAAGGATTAACCGTAAGTTAGAAATTTTTTATAATTAATTTGTTATATTGCTTATTGGTGTTCTTCTTTGCTATTTTATATAGAGAAGAGAAACTGCAAAAATTGAAGCAATTCTAGCCGAGATTGAATGTAAAGCATCAATTGCAGAGGCAGAACCAAAAAATCAGAATTCGATAAATCAACAAAAATAGCAGAAATTGAAGCATTATAAGCAGCAAAAATACGAGAATCTCCAGTTCATCTTACTAGAAGAATACTAACGATATATATATACTGTACCTAAAGTATGCCAGATGCATATTCAGATATCACTCATTATTATAGATCACAAAATATGGATTTTACCATTTAAATATTTAACAAATTCAAATTATCTGTAATTTTTGAATTTTTGAAATTAGGCATTACGGAGATTTAATATATTACGGTATAAGCTTCATACCCATTATGTAATTTATTATGCCGATGCATTATCATGATTTCTGCCGGAATTATATGACTAAAAAAGGTACTTATTGTCAGAGCTATTTATGTAAATTTGGTATTCTAATTATAGAAATTCCGTACATATTTTATGTTTCATGATTATTTTCAGGAATATTATTAATACAATGAAATATATTAATAAAACAAATCCGATGTCGATCATTTGTCGTTATGCCTATATTTATAATCGAATCCCGAAACAATGCATTCTATAAGAGCTTTTATGATATATAAATAGTAGGTGATAAGTATCGGAAATGGTCCATGCTCATAGAAATCGTTTATCTATTGTTATACCGTTAAAGTTAATAAGTGCGATTTATTTAAATATAAAATAGTCAAATCATATTTTGAGCAGGAGATTTGTTATTTACATTTATAATATAATAATTTAACGATTAAGATGGCCAAAGGAATTCTTAAAATTAACGTTGGTAAGAGTTAATTGGTTTATCATACGTAAATAATATATATATATATATATAATAATAATTTTAATTTTTTTCGGATATTTAGTTGAAGCAAAAAACTTGAAGGATGAAGATTTTATCGGTAAAAGTATGTATATTTAGTTCGTATATTCAGTTCTATTTCCATTTTCTTTAAAACTAATAACTGATATTTTATTAGGCGACCCTTATGTTAAATTTATTCTTGATAAAAATAATTTTCTATCGACTACAACCAAGAACAACGATTTAAACCCAAAATTCAACGAAAAATTTATTTTGTAAGATTTTTTTTTAAAATTTTTGAGTCATACATTTTATTGACAAAAACTAAATCATATTGTTTGTAGTAATGTTGATGGGCATAAAAAAATCGGAGTTCAAGTTTGGGACAAAGACTCGGTTGGGCATGATGATTTGGTAATCTATAAATATTTTATACAAAATTACAAATTTATTATTTTATATTTACAAATTACAAATGTCATCTTTTTTAAATAGATTGGCGAAGATGAAATTGATCTCTCCGAAGTTATTTCTAAAAATTATGTAGATGCTTGGTTTGATTTGACAAAAGGCATATTTGGGTTCAGAAGCAAAGGAGAAATTCATTTGCTCATGGAATTCGTTCCTAAATGATTAAAACGTTCACTTTATTTTTATTCCTTTTGATTTTTTATATAGGAAAAAAACTATTTTTATTATATAATAAATAAAAGATTACTGACTATTCACGTATTTCATAAAATTGAAAAGGCTTTCTGTTAAAAAAATTTATTTCACTCATTCGTCTCACACGGATGGTCTTTAAATTTTAACTTCTCCTTTGGTTAGCTGATCCACAGTATGGTATCCTACCACCCGAAAGATTTTCATGTTCAAATCACTTGAATCATGTGATTCGAACCATTGAACCAATAGTATTTATAAAAGAAAAAACGCGATATATGAAACCAGTATCAATGGAAGCGATCACGTGGACTTGACTATGTAAGTTGAGGTGTTAACATGTGACAATTATTAAAAATAAAAACATAAAAAACGCATATTTGAACATATTTCAAATAATTCTTTAAAATTTATGATGTCTATAGCAGGAGTTCTTGCAGTAACTGTTGGTAAGTACAAATCCTGATAAAAGTAAAGGGAAAAAATTAATAATAATAACAATGATACATATTGACTAAATAAATTCATTAGTTGAAGCCAAGAACTTGAGCGAAGAAATTGATCTATGTATTTATATTTTCATTTTCTATTTATCTTTTAAAATCGTTAACTTTTCCAGTAATTTAAATCTTTTGTCTAAATGATGCCTTAAACTACAATTTTCTACAAAACTCATCACAATCATTTAGTTAAATCACTAATATCCGATATTTTATTAGGTAACCCTTGGGTTCAACTTATTCTTGATATGGATCATAATTATCAAGCGACTAAAACCATAAATGGCGATTCAAATCCAAAATTTGATACAAAATTTACTTTGTAAGAATTATTAAAATTTTAAAGTCAATACATTTTAGTAATCATTAAATTATATTGTTTGTAGCAATGTTCAAGGTCATGAAAAACTCAAAGTCAAAGTTTGGGACGAAGATCTATTCAACAAAGATATTTTGGTAAGAAGATCCATAAATAGTTCAAAGTTCAAATTAAATTTTATACTAATAAATGTTAAATAGATTGGCGAATATGACATTGATATCTCCAAAGTTATTTCTAAAAATTATATAGATGCTTGGTTTGATTTGACAAAAGACATATTAGAGTTCGAAAGTAAAGGGGAAATTCATTTGATCATAGAATTCATTCCCAAATGATTAAAGCGTTTACTTTATTTTATTCCTTTGAACCGATATATTTAAATTATTAGATAAAAAACAATTATCGACTTTTAATCCGGTCTTTTCCAAATTAAACGCATAGCAATACTAACCAAAGGAGAAGTTAAATTTGTAATTGAACTTCACTCCTGCTTTCTTTTTTAATAAAAATGAAAAATTCGACCTGTAAATATCTTTTCGCAATTTTTAAGCCGTACAGTTCCTAAATGGTAGTAACTTTTCATAAAGATCAACATGATTGTATTCCCTTCGGACTACATTAGTATTTTCAGCAACTGTACTCTGAAATTTCTGTGTGATAGACATAAATTTAAAAGTATTTATAAATCTCGTGTTAAAATTTTATAACAACTCAATTTTCAGTCTTTATGAAGAATCATGTTCCTTCTTCATAACCGGTAGTTTTGTTAAGAGTCTATAATACAATTTTTACGCAAAGAATACAAATATCGAGAGAATTGATATATTTTATGATTGGGCAGGAATTTTAATTCTAGTCATAGTCTTATTAAATTTGTTAATTTATTGAATGCCAACAAAAACAATGATTATGAAATCATTACACGATTAGTAGTGTGTCTGACGTAATTACATCATTATTCTTTCATTTGTTCTTAATCGGTTAGTCATTTCGGTATGTGACCATACGATTATTATTTATTCAAGACAGTTAAATAGTCGCTTAATTCTTTAATAACCATCAACACTTCTGAACTTCCTAACATCATAACATCATGACTAAAGGAATACTTAGAGTTACTATTGGTAAGAATTTAGTTTTTTATATTAGCTGTTATCAAAAAACAGGAAATAATATTTCTCAAATTAATTAGTTGAAGCCAGAGACTTGAAAGATAAGGACATTATCGGTAAAAGTATGTAAATTCCCTATTAAAAATAATAATGATTTATTTATAGATTATTTTTCTAACAAATGATGTATTAATCCTTTAAATATAGGCGACCCTTACGTTAAACTTATTCTCGATAAACATAACATTCAATCAACTAAACATAAGAGTAACAACTTGAACCCAACATATAATGAACAATTTATCTTGTAAGAAATTAATTTAAATTAATTAAATTATATATTATCATTTGAACTAATCATGTAACAATTGTTAGTAATATAAACGGACAGAAAAAACTCGAAGTTCAAGTTTGGGATAAAGATACAATCTTGAGAGATGATTTAGTAAGAATATATTTTCAATATCAATAATGATTAAATTATACGAAATTATAAAATTCACTAAAAAATTCTTTTTAATAGATTGGTGAAGATGATATTAAACTTTCTGAAGTATTCTCTAAAGGTTACATAGATACCTGGCTTAATTTAACAAAAGGAAAATTTGGTATTAGAAGCAGAGGTGAAATTCATTTAATTTTGGAATTCGCTCAATAATTTATTCTGGCGCAATAATTTTATTCTTTTTTTAAATTTTTCGATATAATTTTTAGTTTAGTATTTTTATCTTAATGTATAATATTATTCATATAATTAATTTTTACGTCATGAAATCATATTAAAGTAAACAACTAAAATTTAACTACTGATTTTTAATGAAATCATTATGACGCATATACACAATTATTGTTTGATTTACATGACGCAAACCTTAACTTGCGTAACCTTAACTTGCGTAACCTGTCATAGTAGTTTCTTAATGGCCAATTAAAATACGCTCAAATTGACGTAACTATTGTATAATAACTATTGGAAATAAAAGTCAAACCAGTCAAACCATTAGGGATGGTAGCATATGGGAATCATGGGTTGGTTGTAATGATCTTAAATTTATATTACCTAATATATGACGATTGATAGACAATTTGATGTCATTACAATGACGATTTATTCTCACGATTCTCAACACATTATATAGTTTAAATTTTGAAATAAGATGACTAAAGGAACTCATAATCTTAGTTATGATCCTATTTTGTTTTAAAAAAAAAAATCGAATTTTAAAATATTGCTGAAATTTTCCATATAATTGATTTACAGTCACATTGACGGACAGAGAAAACTCGAAGTTTGGAAGATCCCGTCAAAGATGACTTGGTAAGGATATATTTCCAATTTATAACGGTAAAGAGAGAATCAAATTTTGTACTTATGGGATCCATTCCATTTTTTGTTAGATTGGTAAAGCCGATATAAAACTCGATAAGGTCTTTTCTAGTGGTCATGAAGAGGAATGGATCAAAATTAAACGCATGGCGATTTTAACCAAAGGAGAAGTTAAATTAGTAATGAAATTCACTCCTGTCTAATTACTATTATTTTTCAATTTTTATATAAATAAAATCCTTATGGAAAAGTTTGACCTATAATTTTTTTTTCGCGTTCAAATCACGTGTAACACGTGATACGAACTTCTCAATAATTAAAATTTTATAAAACAAATTTACTTCAATTACGTATATAATAAATAGTTTTTAAAAACAAATGATTTTTTCATATGGCATTAATTGATTTTTTTCGGAAAAAGTTAAACCATTATTGGACATAAAGGCAATTTATCGAGTAATTAAACTGGGTAAGATTTGCCAAGAATGTAAATTTGTTTAGTTTTATAAATAACACAAAGACACCTAAAGTGCTAATTTAGTAAGCACAAGTCAGTATTTATGTTACTCAGGCCCGAATTTATCTTTTATTTATCGAACGAAAAACGCTAGAAGTCAAATAGGTCTCTTTAACAAGTCAAGTAAAAATTCGTATGTAATATGAAACTAACTAGCAGTCGCTCAAAAACAATCTTTCATTTAGTGGAGAGGTAGGGTTTGTGTTTAGGCGAGGACATATGCTGTACACCAGAAATACCCAAAAAACCACCAACAATAGTCTGTGACCTGACTACATATCGCAATTGGGGAGGGATAGGAAAGGGGAAAATACAAAACTAAGAAAAAAACTAAATAAAAGACAAATGAAAGAAAACGAAAAATCTAACGAGCGCTGTAACCACATCGCCTTCTTATGAGATGTTGTGATCGTTGGCAGAGCCCTTGTTACCATCATTTTTCGAAGACCATGACGAAGATGCCATCTTCTTTTGTTTTTTGGGATGTGAAAGTTTTTCGTATGAGAATTGGGTTTCTAACGCTCATTTCATCTCCCTCATGTTTTTCGAAACACTCAATTGGATCTTACTGTTCTTTGATAAGTTTATAGCTTTAACGTTGAAATTCATTAGAATTTCGTGAGTTTGGTCCCGACTCCAAAGTTTACCTTCTACTATATTGCCTAAAACGTTTCGCGTCTGGAGTTTCCATTTGCCAGGGAACCATCGAATATGCACACTACGAAGTGTCGAAGTGTGTAGTCTCAGATGTGAACAAAGGTATCACTACATGAACCAGTACAGTTTGATATTTTTTCTGTTGCTTGATCGTGGCTGACATCTCCATGGCAGGCATGTAGGACTATCATCTTAATAAACACCATCATATTGGATATGAAGATGCTATAAAAATTTGATTCGCGTTCAAATTACGTGAATTATCATCACACAGCTAAACACTAAAATGGAGATTTTTCCATTATTATGTCATTAAGCCATTAAATGATTTTTCGGAAGGATTTAACCCATATTTGGACATAAAAACTGATAAAAGTGCTAATTTAGTAAGCACGTGCCAACTTACTCCGGCCCACTCAAAACTAAATGGTCAGTGGTCACGTGAAATTTGACTCACGTCAGAACTCAGAACTCGGTAAATTTATGATTTGGTGTTAAACAAATTTATATAACATAATACTGATTAAACGACCAAAGTTATAAGGTTATTTTAAATACATTTCCCGACAAATATATAAAACAAAACATCAGTAAAATATCATTCGTTTAAGATTTTCTATTTATAAAAACTTTTTTTTTCAATATAATCATTTATAGTAAGATGGTGAACGCCCATGACCTTTAATTTCTTGGCATTAACCCCAATTAAGAAATAATTACCCACTTAACCTAAGTTGTACAAGTCGATTTCTTTCTCATATATATTGGTCGCATATTGGGAATTTTTCATAAATCTTTTCCATAAACTAAACAATTCTTCTTTAAAGATTTGTAAAAGATGACTAAAAAAGGAACTCTTACAGTAACTGTTGGTAAGTTACAAATTCTAATAAAAGTAAAGGAAATCATTAATATTAATTAACCAAATAAATTTATTAGTTGAAGCCAAAAACTTGAAAGATGAAGACCTTATTGGTAAAAGTATGTAATAAAATATTATAAGATACTATATTAAAGAATAATTTTTCTTTTTTAATAAATTTCATAATTAAATTTCTAAAAAAAAAAAAACCAAAAATTTAGGTGACCCTTATATCAAACTTATTCTAAATGAGAATAACACTCAAGCTACCTCTACTAAGAGTGGTGACTTAAACCCAACGTATAATGAAACATTCACCTTGTAAGAAATTTATAATATTGGGTTTATTGAATTTATTGATCGAAACTAATAAGTGAATAATTTTTTATAGTAATATTGACGGACATAAACACCTCGATATTGAATGTTGGGACAAAGATACAGTTACCAGTGATGACATAGTATGATATACAAAATTTATTTAAAAAAAAAAAAAAAATTTAAAAAATTTTATTTATTAAAACTTTTATTTTATATTTCATTAGATTGGAAAAAACGATGTTAGCCTCTCTCATGTTATCTCTAAAGGAACCGATGATGTCTGGGTTAAATTAAAATCAGGAAAACTTGGAATTAGAAGCAAGGGAGAAGTTCACTTACAGATGACATTTGAACCTATTGCTTAAATTTTTTTTTTCGATTACTTTTTATAAGAACTTTCTTTTTGATTCTTTTTCCTTATATTTATTTATTTGCCAATAAAATATTGTAATCGTTTTTACATAATTTTATCAATTTATCGATTACATCATTATATCAAGTTTATCTTTTGTAATCTTCATCGTACGAATAAAATTATCATGTAAATCAATATAGAAAAAGGAGTTATTTGACGGAAAGTAGTGAAACAACTAAACGCCAATACGCATTACTATTAAAGCGGTGTGATTATATGAGATATCACATTTTCCCACGCCCGAATAGATAATCTATATATAAAATGGTTTAAATATTTGTTTGATACAGGAAAAAAAACCCTTTCTCGTATACTACAAAAAAAAAAAAAAAATATGACCAAAGGAAACCTTAAAGCTACTGTTGGTAAATTTTTTTTATAAAAATTTTTTAAATGTAAAAAAAAATAAAAAAAATAAAAAAAATTTTGAAAATTTGAAATTAAAAATATAATAATTTATTAGTTGAAGCAAAAAAGTTGACCGATGTAGACCTATTTGGTAAAAGTATGTATGTTTTATCATTTTTTAAACATACCACTGTAATGTTTTATTTAACGAATGTTGATCCTTAGGCGACCCTTACGTTAAACTTGTTCTTAGTGATAATAAATCTCAGTCAACTACGATCAAGAAAGGCGAATTGAACCCAAAATATAACGAAGAATTTAATTTGTAAGAAATTATTTATTTAACATACAGTAAAAAAAATTTCATCTTTTTCTTTTAAATATTTGACTAAAGATTAAATCGTTATATGATTAAATCATTAACAGCGTAACTGACGGAGAAAAGGAGCTCAAAGTTGAAGTTTGGGACAGAAATACTATTGGTTCTGATGAATTAGTAAGATATAACTTAGTTAAAATCTATAATTTTCTAAAATTTTCTAATATTTTTTTAATATTTTTAATATTTTTTTAAATAGATTGGTTCAGAAGTTATTCCACTTGCTAAAGTTTACGAATCCGGTTTCTTAGATACTTGGATCAAAATAAAATCTAGTCATAGTAAAAGAAGTCAGGGAGAATGTCATATTATTTTAGAATTCGCTTATTAAAAAGCTATATTTATTGTAATTAAATTTCATGTGATATAATCAAATAAAGTGAATGTGAATATCGTTAACAGGTTTTACCCTTTTTACATATGTATTACGAGCATGAGCATGAAAATCATTCAGCCAAATTTTAATTACACCTTATTCAATCATGAACTGAAACATTTTAGGAAATATTGTTTTTTTGTGTAGACAATATATAAATTAAAATAAAAATATCACAGCACGCTATTTCTGTTTAGCTTTTGATTGATAAAATTCATTCTATCACATTGATTAAAGTTATAAATCTCTTCCAGTTTTTTCTTTAAAAAAATTTTTTACAAAGTTTTTGTTTTTTTTAAAAAAAAAAATGACCAAAGGTACACTTACTGTTATTGTAGGTAAGTCTTATAATAAAATTTATAATATATTATATACATAATTATCTCGTTTATTATTATTTTTAAATCTTTTATAATAATTTTTTTTTTTTTGTTTTCATTCCCACGTTTAGTTTCAGCAAAAGGTTTGAAGAATGCTGATGATGTTGGTAAGATATTAGATATACATTAATTAATATTTATTCCCAATTTTTTATTATTAACATTTAGATAATTTATCAATATAGGAAAAAGTGATCCTTACGTTAGACTTTGGGTTGACGATGTTGATTCTCAAAGAACAACTACTAAAGTTGGTACTTTAGATCCAATTTGGAATGAAACTTTTAAATTGTATGTATATTGAAATTTATATATATAAAGATTTCTGTATATGAAGATTTATTTTATATGAAAATTCTAACATTTTTTATAAAATCTATTCGAATTTTATTAAGTCCAATCACTCATCAAAATAAACTTCATTTTAAAATATGGGACTCTGATGCTCCTGAAAAAGAAGGAAAAGATGATAAGGTATATTAAAGAATTATATTAGTCAGTTATTTATATTTATATTTATTAACCATTATTCATGTTTTTTGTAATTAGTTGGCATCAGGAAGTATCGATCTTAAAAATGTGTTTGAAAAAGGTAGTGAAGAAAAGACACATGAATTAACACATAATCTTGGTTTCTCTAAAGATGGTGTAATCACTTTTAAACTAACTTTTGCACCTTCTGCATAATTATGTATTTAAAATGGATTAATTATTTAATTTGTAAACATTCTTTGTTATTATTATTTTGATGTGTTTAAAATTAAAAGGGTTTTATTTTTAAAAATAAAATATCTTTATATTACGTCAATATATTGAAAATTTTTTTTTTTTTTTTTTTCTTTTTTTTTGGTTATCTGTTATAAAATTCATGAGATACTTGCATATCTTTATTATCTTGTTATCTTAATGGCTATCTTATCTGTATTATCTACTCCTTAAAAAAAAAAAAAAAAAAGATTGTCAATTGGGATTCAAAAATAAATTAATTGATTTAAATGGGGAGTGAGTGACTCGAACACCCAACCTTCCGCTCTGGAGGCGGACGCGCTACCATTGCGCCAACCCCCCAAATTTCTTATTAAACTTTAAAATAATTTTTACATATGCATTTAATTTTATCGTTATATAATCAAGATAGCGAAAATTCTAAATTCTGCGATCATAAAGAAATTTCCTTTTTTATAGAAATTATTGTTTGTAGTACCATTATATGATTTGTAGTCATAATTTTTAATTATTTTTTTACAAAAGAAAAAGAATTCAACTACTATAAAAAAATAATAATTATTATCATAACAAAATCAGCAAATTAAAATTTCTTTTTATTTTATTAGTGCATCCATTATAAATCTTTTAAATCTGATTAATGACATACTTTTAAAAATATACATAGCAACTTAATAATGTTATAAATTTTATGCTCAAAAAATACTGTAATAATGATGTTTCTAAAATTCTAAAATTCTGAATATCAATTACATTTGACCTATGAAGTTATGATGTGAAAATTAATCATGGCAATTAAAAATTTTCTCATAAATAGACAGTCTATAAAAATAAATTTGTGCATATCACTGTGATCAGCAAAACAAACCAGTAAAAATTTTTTACTTTTGTTTATAAATTTTTTATTTTTTTATCTTTAAATTCTCCTTGTTTTACAATTTTCCTTTTTATTATTCAATAAGTTTTCGAAAGGAAATATAAGGAATAATATAAATAGCCTATTTAATTACAAATTATTTTTAAATCATACTTCATTTCTCTAAAAAAGTCATCGTGACCCTAGTCACAAAATGGAACAGAAGAAACAACCGAATTACTACATTCTGTTCCATCTTGACCTAACGAAAATTAAGCCAAAAACCGGGGCAATCAGTTTTCATTTTGAGCAAGATCTGGATAATTTTTTTCGTAATCGTTAATCATTTATGCAAGTTCGTTTTAAGTCAAAATCTGAATATTTTTTTTGCATTATTACACAAAAATTTTCCCGATAGCTCAATATATCTACACTTCCATCCATATCTCTTATTAGTTGCCATTGATTCCGATTTTACGTTCCTTTAGCGTAGAATCTCTTCTATTCCAAATGTTCCCCAGAACCATCATTCAAACTTTTTCCTATTCTTTTATAAGGTTAATTTCAGCTCTTACTGTTTTGACACCTATATAATTTCTTGATTCTAACACGTTTTCTAGTTCTAATCTTCCAAGCTTCGTTATAATATCATCATCTTTCCAAGTCGCCTAAAAAGTCACTTGACTTTTATTCATTCAAATCTGCATCGGAATCTACATGTCCTTTTCTTTTTTTTGAAATCCAATTTTCTTCTCACTGTATTTCTGAAGTACAAACCTCTTGGTTTGCAATTTTTTTTTTCTAACTCTGAACGCAAGGAAGTTAACTCTTTCCTGAACACGTACTACTGAACCAATTTGTCCATAGGTTTGGCATAAAAATATATGTTTAAACATCGTATTTGTTACTGTAATTGACTATCTGATCCAAATGATAGAGGTTGTAGTTCAAGCTGTGATAATAAATTTAAGGTGTAATTTGTTCAACTAGTGCAATTACTACTGACGTAAGGAATTCTGTATAATAATCCGTTAAATATTAAATAAAAATTTAACTTACATGTAAATACACAACATAAATATTCATCATTGATCCATTATATGTCGTCCCCATTATGTATTTCATCATACTTTCGTCAATTTAATAACAAAGCTTAATTTGGGATAGGTGATAACGTTTAGAATTGATAGCAAAAGCTCTATTTTTATATATCTAAGTAATAAATCAGATAATCACATTATAGCAAGGATTCTGACTTAGAGATGTTCTGCATTATTCAGCAAATGGTAGCTTCGCGTCATTACCTTTTCGTGATAGCAGTAAAAGATTAAAAATTGATCTATCTTCCTGTGGATATATATATAAAAATGGATATAACATCTATATAACAATTCGCCTACACTCTTGTAGCTCGTTACTAAATGATATATACAGTACCTTTTCTTCAAACCTATTTCATTGTTTTGGATTGAAACACTATTTCATTATCTTGTCGTGTTGGTAATTGAAAATGAACGGACATATCTTAAAAAGGTTTTAAACTGAAATACCTTACAATTTTGATAATAAATAATATTTGATTATAATTACGTTAATTATTCATTGTTAATATTACAATACTAATAGTTTTTCTGTTATAAATAGAGATAGCGAATCGAGTTATGCTATTAGAACTTGTGAGTATAGATTTTGGCGTTATAATTATAGCAAAGTAAGAATATTTAGCTAATTCAAAGCGCAAAAAAAAGTTCTGTATTAAAAAACAAACGGTTGGATAATGCTAAATACATAAATTTCTTTAAGTAAACCTTCTAAAAGAAAATCACTCATGATCGGCAAATCTCATTAAATATGGTATAATATTACAAATTTCTGTTTTTTTAGTTCAAAAATTAGGCGATCCTTAATTTATTTTTATTATTTGACTTTTTTTTCATATTGTCCGGAACTATGAAAATTGATCGATCACGTGTCCCGGAATTCCAAGGCGTTATGCTGCTAATCAGCAGAAAATTACAGGCGTTATGCTGCTAATTAGTAGAAAATCGCTACCATTCTAGATATTTGTTATTTATTATGATACCTCGCTCCGGACTTATAACGGTTCCCGTTTCCTAGTTATTAGATTTTGTATTATTATTACAGAACTCCGGACTAAGGTTGCTTGCCGAAACCTAGGGGTTTAGGCAAGATGGCGTTTCGCCGAAAAGCGAAATTCTGCCGAAACTATATTAAAGTTATATTAAAAAACTGGCGAAACTTTGGAGAATGGTGAAACTGCTTAAACTTATTATAAATGCCGAAACTGCCGAAACTCTGCCGAAACTATAATAAATCTATAGTAAAATTTTGATGAAACTAATCGTAGGATTTTGAAGAGGTTTAGACAAGCAACCTTACCCCGGACATCTCTAAAATAAGTCATGAGTTGCCCATTTTTAAAAACTCAAAAAAATCATTTTTTGCAAGTATCTCAGCATCTAGTAGTCCAATTTGTAGCTCTCATTGAGCTCTACAATTTTAAAAAAAAGTATGGGCTACTGGATGCCAAGATATTTGCAAAAAACAATTTTTTAGTTTAAAGTGATTTTTTGAGTTTTAGCAAAAAAGAATAATTTTGGCCAAAAATCTATTATGATTTATATATTAGATATCTATATCCTAATATGTATATATATAATTAATTAAAGAAATTTTTTTAATATTTGTATATCTATTATGTAACTTATATAAAAAAATTTAATCTACCTAATATTAAATGATCAGAATAAAAATTTACATTGATATAGTCTTAATGCAAAATAAAACTGTAAATAAATTCACCTTAATTCATAATTCTGAAAATTTTAGTATAAGAAAATATCACTAATAATTTTAGTTCCATTTTGAAAATCCATTTCATAGTTTTCTCTTCTTTTATAACTTTTATTAACATTTTCAATTTTATTGTCAATTAATAATATATTACATCTAATCACAAAAATTCTTTTTGAAATCTGAAGTAAAAAATATTTTATATTATATTTCAGAATATAATATTAAATAAAATAAAGGTTTTTCAAAACAAATTATTAATTTTTTTGTATTTGCAAATTCTTTGTAAATATATCACAGGTTGAAAAGTGAAAAATCAGGCATTTTTGCCAAATACTGTCACCAATCAGCAGTTTTCTAACTTTTTGATTCAGTAATCAGAAAAGAATGAAATATAGCTCATTGAAATTATCTTAACAAGACAAATCTAATGGATAAAAAATTAAATAAAATATAAGTGATATATTTTTATTTTTATATTTTACTTAATTTCTCACTAAGTATTAATCCTAAAAATGCAATTTTACTACCATTAGATTCGTCTTGTTAAGATGATTCCAATGAGTTATATTTCATTCTCCCTTTTCTAATTACTGGGTCAAAAGTTAGCAAATTGCCTAATTGATGATGGTATTTGGCAAAAATACCAATTAGACACCAATTGATACCTGATTTTTCACTTTTATATACTATTTAAAAGTTTTGCTTATAATACTATTTGAATATAAATCTACAATCAATAAAATTCATAAATATTATATAAATAGCAATTTACATTCTAATGTTAGTAATGTATTATATATTTTATAGACTATTATATTAAAAATTTACTTCTAACTTATTCTGATAATCCTATTAATATAATATTTTTTTTGGATTATATAAAAAAATTAAAAAAGAATTTATAAATATTTATCAAAAATTTAATAATTAAAATAGTTTTTTTGCTAGCATTTGTAATACAGTTAACTCCCTCTATAGTCACTCCCATTATAGTTACATTCTACTATATAGTCACACTAGTTAAATGTTCAAAACACTTTATCATTAAAATCTATCTTATATAATTACAATCTATCTATAGTCACTATCACATCTATCCTCAAAAATCTTATATTAAAAAAACCATTTATTATAATCACAGTTATACAAAGAATATATTAAATAATTTGGCATCTAATAATCATACAAGAATGTATGGTAATAGTTTTATCCTTTTACAATTATATAGACTATCCCAAATGTGTAACTATAAAAAGACTTAACTGTAATATATAAACTATCAAATTTAAAAAAATTGATTTTAATACATTAAAAAATTTAGAATTAAATTACTTTATAGATTATATTAAACTGAAATAGTACTTTGAAACCATTATTCAGATAAATTAAAAAATTATCCAGTTTTTATCTGAATTA